GTCTTCCTGAAACCCGTTCTTTTATTGTCCTTTCCAACTCCCTAAACTCTTCTCATTCTCTTTCACCCTGGCGTGTTCGTATTCGTCTCCATAATTTTCCAGCATTTTCTTCAGTCACTTGATTAATTTAAATAAAAATTTTGACAGGCCAGTTTCCATTCTTCAACAGATATCGAGTTCTTTGAAATTATTCGCTGTATTTTTTTTTTCCTGTATTTATCCAAGTGTTCCTGTGACTATCGGGAGTGTAGCAGTTTTCATATTCCAAGTCCTTACAGATTTTTAAATCTGCCGCTTCTATACTTTGTTTGCATTCAAACCAAATGAATATATTATTTATTTATTAGGTTACTACTTAAATATAATACCCAACGGTGTCTATGTTTGGCAAAGAGAAAATATAAATGCCTATCACTCTAACGAAACAAAATAGTAAAAAAAAGATATTATAATTTTCTGGAATTATGTCAAGTATTATCAATTAATATTAATTTTGATTTGTTAATTTTGATTACCATCATGGTCTACTTAACTTCTAATTTTTTCTTTTTATTTTATTACTCTGCGATTCCTCGAGCTTTTTACATTCTTAAAATGTACGTAGTTAATGGATAGCGGCTCGAATTGAGGAATCGTATAGCCGAGTTCGAATTTCAGTCAGATACATTACGTGCTAATACCCTTGGGAAAGGTATGCATCATGTTCTTATTACCTTGCTATAGGTAAATAGCAGGGTAGACGGTGTTCTATAGCCTTGGATGGCAATTGGTCTACTGCAGAAAAAAATCTGCCGTGTCAGTCATGTATCGAAAGATAGATGATCGCCTAAGCGTGTGTCACGCATGGCACATAACTGACTATGATTTAGCTAGATGTAACCGTAAATTCTATTTTAATAGTTCCTTTTCTTGTATTTCTCGTCTGTAGAATTCTTTTCCGGTTTCTTGCATACCTGGCAACTAAAATCTTCAAAAATATAAATTTATCGTCAATAGCTTCTATACTTAGTGTTACTTAAATTCCCGTTCCATATCAACGGGCGGTCCCAATATTTATGCACCACGCAGATTGATCCGTTTGGGTGAAAGGAAATGATATAGTTTTATGAGTCATTGTTATATAGAGATTTTACAAGCGTAGCTTTAACGTGTCAAAAGGCTTAAAGCATGAGGCGCCCAGTGAGGATCGAACTCATTTCTTACTCGCAACTTTTTTAATGAGACAAGCTTTCTAACCATATCACCACTCCGATGTTCCCAAGTCATTTTACAAAGTACCGTAATTTCTCGAAAATAATTTTTATTTACTGTAAATTGCAGGTCGACAGTAGGCGTGCGTATTATAAATAGGTTTAAACAAAAATAATTTTTTTTCGTTATTGATTTATAATAATAAATACGTACTTATTATTCTAAAATAAGAAATATATTATCCCAATTTTCATTTTAAATCCAACAATAATAATTTTAACATATTTTTTGTCGATAAATTTATGTTTATTTCCACGTTACTTATGGAAGATCCACTTGATCGTCTTTCTTTCACAAATTCAACTAAATTTTGTTCCATATCTGGATATTAAGCTTTTCTTCCTCTACCAATAGCTTTGACACTTGATTTATAGATGCGTATTATATATAGGGATAAATATATTTCTTAATTTTTGGATCATTTATTGGGGTGCGTTTTATTTATGGGTGCGTATTATTTTCGAGAAACTACGGTAATTATTTCCATCTTAGTTTTGATTAAATAAAAGATTATCATCCTTTATCATTAAATCATTACTTGTAATCGCTTTTATATTTATCTTTGTTAGATGGGGGATTATCCAGCATTATTACGCCGTCCTAGGTATGATTATAAACTGCGTCCGCGTCCTGGGTAAGACGATAAACTAGTCCTCTGATCAGGAGGTTTTGAGGAGCGTGGAACCGCCTCTTAACTGCTGGTGTCCCCAGGTCCACCCTGACCCGGTGTGGTAGGCTATGGGCAAATAGTTAACACTCAGATTACATTCATTCACGTCCTGGGTAACTACATCTGCGTCCTGGGTAAGACGACAAACTACGTCTAACCGCAAGGCCTCTGATAATACGTTTTTGAAAAAATAATGTTACCAGCTATATGTTTTTGAAAAAAAAATAATAATAATATTACCAGCTATACGTTTTTGAAAAAATAATATTACCAGCTATACATTTCTGAGAAAATTTTTTTTACCAGAAATGGATTTTTGACAAAACAAAAATATTACCATGAAAAAAAAAACAGTTTGTATTAAATGACCCATTGAGGTTGATATGCCGTAAAACAAAACAAACCAAACCAGCATTATTACGATTAATTTAGGTCTACGATATGCAATATTTTTTATTTGATGAAAATTAATATAGAACTGAACAGTATTTAAAATTAACAATAATAATAATAATAACAAAACGATAAAATGAAAAAATTAAAGATGTGCATGATTGATTCGTTTTTTACGGTTTATCAACCTTTTGCAGGTTATTTAAAACCATAAAATATATTTAGATTGCGAAAATTTCTTCATTTTGTGAGAGTATAATATTTTAGTGATACAAGTTTTACTAATTAACCCACAGGCGGGGGACGTGTATTCATACCTTTCCAATCATTATTTGCACACAAGTGAATAGAAAAAACATTCAGCGGGCCTCCGATTAACAATTCTGATCCATTATAACAAGCACATATCCAAACTTAAACATCTAGTATACCTAAGCGGTTACCCATCCGGTTACAGACCAGGATCGGCATTGCTTAACTTCGGTGATCGCTCGGAAATCGGTGTTTCAACGTAATGTGGCTGTAGGCTTTTACTATTTCAGAGAGGCATAACCCATCGCCACTGGATTTTATTTATATTTATATATATATTATATATATATATATATATATATATATATATATATATATATATATATATATATATATATATATATATATATATATATATATAATTAAATAAAAAATTAATTAATATATTTACTTTAATCTCCATTTTAATTAGATGAAGCATTGTCAAACACTATTATTAATTTTTTTACGAGTATCTAATTATATTTTAATTTTTCACAGATGAAGTTTGTCGACGATTATTATTCATTCTTTATTAGTATTTACTCTCATCTTTATGTTTTATAAAAACAGCGGTTCTCGTACGATCACCGAAGTTAAGCAACATCGAATCTGGTCATTAGATAGATGGATGACCGCTTGGGGATATCATGTAATCTTGGAAGCACAAGTGGTGTTATGAATTACGGCTCGGAACTTTTAATCGGAGAGCCGAATTCTAATTTAGGTTGAGTTCGTTATATACACTTATGCGCAAATACCTTTGGGAAAGGTATGAATTCAAAACTTATCGACCTTCACCCAGCTATGGGTTAATTAGTAAGACTTGTATCACTAAACCACTATTATCTCAAAAACATTTCTTATAATCTAATCTGATATATATATATATATATATATATATATATATATATATATATATATATATATATATATAATTGGTGTAAACGGAATGAATTCCAATAACCAACAATTACTATTCTTATTATTTTATCATATAATTTAATAATTATTGGTTAGAATAAATTCTTTTTAATATTACCCGTATTTTAAAGATCTGAATAGCTATTATAACATGATTTCGTTGTCAAGCTTTTGAATATTCCTGTACTTGGGTTTTGATTGGTCCATCTAGCTTTTGTAACGACGGTTTCCCCTTGTGAAGGATTGTTAATTTGAAACATTTAAAACCATTTATTTTACATTCAACATCTTCATTTGATAAGACACCGGAGGTGTTGAAACAAAATGTTATAATTTTTTTTTATAAAAATTATATATATATATATATATATATATATATATAAGTGAATATAGAAGTCAACACGTAGAGGTGACAGTCTGTTTCATGCTAGATGCATTCGTCAGGCCTGATGAATACATCTAGCATGAAATAGACTGTCGCCTCTAAGTGTTGACTTCTATGTTCACTTTTATATTTACACACGCTCTATCTCTGATATTGAGCACTTTATCCCATAAATATAGCACATCTTTAAACTATATTTCTTCATATATATATATATATATATATATGTGTGTGTGTGTGTGTGTGTGTGTGTGTGTAAATTTCAGTTAATGAGATCCAAGCAATTTACCTCATACAGATGATTATTTTGTCCATGGAAAAGTAATTTTTCCTTGGATTTATCAATGCAAATACATTTTCTAAAACATTTAGTAAATGTATTTGCAAGAAGATCCTATTGATATAAAATATTAAAACTGATCCACAAAAGAGAGCTCAATATAATTTTTATTATAAAGCATAGAAGTGAATTACAATTAATGAGATCCAAACAATTTACCTCAGACAGATGATCATTTCGTCCATGGTAAAGAAGTTTTTCCCAGGACTTATCGATGCAAATACATTTACTAAATGTTTTACTAAATGTATTTCATTCATAAATCCAGGAAAATTACATACATACATACTTTTCACATATATATATATATATATATATATATATATATATATATATATATATATATATATATATTTAAATTAACCTTAAAAACCTGCAAAGTGTTGTTAAACCGTAAAAAAATCGAATCCATCAATGAATTACATTTTATTAAACAAAAAGTAAATGCGAGAGAAAAAAATGAATATTATTATTTGACACTTCATTATCTAACCTTTCGTCGAATAAAGAATGAAAGTGAAATTAAATGCTAGTTAAAATTCATTTTCAGGGTTGACTGTAGATCATTTAGTAAAAATGAATGAAAAATAAGCAGCACCTCTGCATACAACACCTGAACACTCCGATCGTGGGTGGCGCTAGCTTGATTGGGGGCTCAGTGCAGGGCTTCGTGACCCTTGCTATCTTATCAACATTTGTTTTATTTTACCTACACTTACATACGTTACAAATTAAACTAAGCAAAA